GGGAAGAAAAGTAAATAAGAGCTGGTAACTGTAATATTTACTCACCTGTTAGAATTTTTCTAAGCTTAATGATTTTTAAAACACTTAATAAGACCATATAGCTTATACTCTGGTAGGTAGGATATGGACAAAAAGGAACATCCTCCAGTTGTAGAAACCAGGAAGTATTGATGCTACACAGGAAGTAGCCACGAATCTATAAACTAGTCCAGTAAAATCATTTTTATCTCCATTGAGGCTAAGCTGGTTAGAACAAAAAAGCTTGTTCAGGATCTAGAAATGGCAAGAATTAGGGTCATGACTCAACTATGTTTGGCTTTCACTTTGATTTACAATTATATTGGCAAATGATCCTTGCAAAGAATAAACACAAGATTAAGAATGCAAGTGAGGAGATGCTCCCTGAGGCTTTGTTTTTATTCCACACAAGGTCAGAGCCAAAGTTCAATATAACCAGAATACCATGCAGAGGAAGGAATCCTCCCAGTCAGCACAGTACAAGATATGGGATTTCGGTCTTTTACAACCATTTGGGTGTGGGGCCACCCCAGCACACCAACCCTCCTCCTTTTAGTGACAGCCTTGCTGCACCACAGATGTATTCACACATTTGTGTTCTATTTCTTGTGCTTCATCAAGGCAACCCAGCTTCCGGTGCAACAAGCTTGACTATAGCCTAGCAAGAATCCCATTTGGAAAATCTCTCCCACCCTCTAAGTAGATGGGAGAGGAAGCTCATTTTATAAATCAATACTCAGTTGAAGAAACAGAAGTGAAAGGGCACTTGGGTGGCTTAGTCAGTTAAGCAAGTGCCTTCAGCTCAGGTCAGGATTTTGGGATCCTGGGGTCCTGGGAGTGAGCCCTATGTCAGGCTGCCTGCTCAGTAGGGAGTCTGCTTCTCTCTCTCTCTCTCTGTCGCTTTCCCTGTCAACCCACTCTTTCTCTCAAATAAATAAAAAAAAATCTAGAAGAAAAAAAAAAGAGAAGAAAGAAACAAAGAATGAAGGAAAGAAAGAAAGAGAAAGAAAAGAAAGAAAGAAAGAAAGAAAGAAAGAAAGAAGAGAAGAAAGAGAGAAAGAAAGAAAGAAAGAAAGAAAGAAAAAAGAAAGAAAGAAAGAAAGAAAGAAAGAAAGAAAGAAAGAAAGAGAAAAAGAAAGAAAAAGAAAGAAAGCAGTGCATATTAGCTTAGAGAGAATGAGCATTCTTTGGGTAGTAGTAGGTCACCAGTGTTTTGTTCATTTTAATTAACTGACAACCCAAGTCTTCAGAGGAATCAATGAATTGTTTATATATACTTAGTTTCTTGGCAATTAAAAGTGGAAAGTAGAAAGAAAAGAGTCCTAAAATAAGAATATAAAATCTTGCCCTGAACCTACAAAAACAAAAAGTGTGGAATGAGTGGAATCTGTACAACATAAGGCAAAAGGAAATTTGATCTCCAATTTCTTCAACTCAAACCTATCAAAGAAATCATGTCTACAAACTGAAAATTATTTTTTCAATTTATTTTTCCTGTTTGGCCTGTAATAAATATCATAGATACAATACCTCTTTCAGTAATGGCTAAAACCAATAAAAAAGAGGAAAAAAATCAAACATATATACATTAAAAATATATCAGCTTATCAGAATTTACCTAGCCATAAGCTCTAAGGGGTCCCAGTCTGAAAGTCCTCTCTTTCCATTTGGAAAATGCTGCTTTCATTTCCTTGTGAAGTTATACTTTTTAATATCCCACAAATAAAATTAATTAGGGCACATATCATATTGTGTTCTTAGCAAAATGACCGAGTATACTATTTTTAGGTCACAGCTAGCCTTATTTATATTACTTAGGCAAAACTATATAGAAAAGAAATATTAGAAATCCAAAAGCTATTTCAAACTAATTCTATAATTTCTAAAGCTACACATAAGTGAAAAACATAAACTTGCAAAGTAAACTAGTGTACTGTGTAAACGAATCCACTTTGAAACTAAGGTTTGATATAAGTCATGCTTTTCTCCTAAAAATGCCTTCATTTATTTTATTAATTGATATCTGGTTCTGTGGAGAGAATGCAGGGAGAGTAGGGCTATGAGAAAGCAAGGATCTGAGCAAATGATCACCCACTCATGAATTATACCCAGAAATCATGATAAAAATTTTCTATAAATATTCATTCACACTTATAATAAGTATTTCAGGTGACTGAGAAAAATATTTTCTTTCTGTTATTGGTACATCATCACTTAAATGGGACTCTGAAAAAAAGGACATAGCAGTGGGGAAAATCGACTAGGTTGTTTTCTATTCTCTCCCCATGCATGACCTCTTAGCCTACTGTTTACTTCCAATAAGCCCTCAAAGTCTCCATGTTTGTTATTGTCAGATACTGAAAACAACTCTGATCCTTCCACTTCTTTATGCCCAGGTTGACAAGTGAATGTAGAATATCAATTCATGGATTGTGTCACAAATAAAACAAATGCCTAAATCTAGCTTAAACTGCTAATATTGTAGAAATAAAGCACCAATTACTATAGTTTGTCAAATTAAGAGTAATCTCATTCTCAAAACTGAATAACATGATTGAATATTATTTCTAGAATAAGCAAATGTATTTATTACTACTATATATAAATAAATATATTTATTACCACTACTTACCAAGGGGAAAACATGCTGAAGGATAGGCACTTGTTCGGAATCAATGCAAACTATACTATAAAATGGATAGAGAGGAGGCAAGAAACAGTATATTTCAGAGAACATAGATGGTCATTTAGCACTCTATTTAGAGTAAACTGAAAGAGAAAAACAATGTTGACCCAGGGAAATGCTTCATGAGATGATTCATCACCCTCAATCGAGAAAGAGGCATTTTCAAAGTTCACTTATTCATTCAGTGTTTGTTTTTTGATACCTGTTTTGTGCCAGGTACTGTTGAAATCACAGAGAAAACAAAGAATCAGAGACACAATGAGAATGTAAGTAAAGTAAGAAAGGAGCACTGACAGAAAGGATATTCCATGTAGCTCAATGCCAAAGAAATATTGGAATGGAAAAGAATACAGTGGCAATAGACATTCTTGAAAAGATAAAGAGAGGCCATGTTATGAAACTTTGTCTAAAAGCTAGTGTATGGGAAGGGGGGGCAGTGGGGAGAAGGGTAGATGTAATTGTGGATATTAATAATTTTTAATTAAAATCTAAATTTAATTTAAATGTTTAAATGTCCATACTAAAAATAAAAGTAAATGGTACAAAGAGGAAGAGGGAAATGAAACCTTTTCTTTTCTTAAGGAAACACCAAGTACATGTGTGGGAGAGCTTTACAAGAAGTCAGCTTTGGACAATGGAAAGGTAAATAAAACATAGGCACTAAGAAGTATTACCAGGGTCACACTGAGATGGGAGATCACAAATTTATTATGACATCAGTTTTCTCAGTTTTGGGATTTTCAATAGCATTGAAAAAGTGAAAGGGAAAGCCAAACTGCTCAATTAAGAAAGGGTAAGGATTTTTCCAGGTGTGAAATGGAAGGAACAGTACAAAGAAATGAAGAATTGGGCAAATGATTTATTTAAGTTGTACACTAGGTCTTGCCTGGATAGCAAGAAGACGGTAAAACGAATAGAGAGTCACGAAGAAAACAAGGTGTGTCAAGACACTGGAGAGTGGTGGGAGTTGGAGAGAATGAAGTGGTTACTGTTTTGTAATTCATGATTTTAAAGATGAGAACTTTCAAATATCAAGATTCAGAAGAGTCACTGACCAATGGTTAGTGTGGAATGGAAGAGAATGCCAATGAAGGTAAGGTAGTTAAGAATTTCTGTAGGCTACTAACTGACTTGCCAACCTATCTACTTTAATTAATCATAATGATAACAGGAGATAAGACAAAGGAAAATCAACACCTGAATTTCTAAATCTGAAGAAGTGATAAAGAAGATGACAGATGATAATGAGAGGGTAGGGATAACAATGTAAAAGGCAAAATGAGGGCACCTGGGTTGCTCAGCATTTGAGAGTGTGCCTTTGGCTCAGGTCACGATCCTGGGGTCTGCCTCTCCCTCTGCTTATGTTTCTGCTTCTCTCTGTGTGTCTCTCATGAATAAATAAATAAAATATTTTTAAAAAGCAAGCAACAGAAATCATTTAAAAATAATAATAAAAATAAGAGGCAAAATGAAATTAAAAAAATACATCTTGGATGAGCTCTATATTTTCTAATGCCACATCCCCAGCTAAAAGGAATCACATACTGATGTTAACTGTTACCTTGTAAAGTCAGGACCATCTACCCAAACACCCTTTCCCCCAGTATTACCCAGATCCTAGCACATGACTCTGGTCAATAATTTCTCCAACCTTCTCCAAAACTTCAAACTTTCTCCACTTTGTTCAAATTCTGCCAAGAGAATTTAAATTCCAAAATTATCCTCAATTTAGCACCACAAAGCCTATCTACCTATTCAGATTTTCTCCCTTCTCTCCCTTATCTCCTCTTTATAGGTTTATTATGGCTGGTCAAAGTCAACTCAAACTCCATGTCTTGGAACCTATTCAAATCCACATTTTTAGGTTTCCATCAAACGTCCCTTTACTGGAATACCTGGGTGGCTTAGTCGTTGAGCGTCTGCCTTCGGCTCAGGGTGTGATCCTGGAGTCCCGGGATTGAATCCCACATTGGGCTTCCCGAGGGGAGCCTGCTTCTCCCTCTGCCTACGTCTCTGCTTCTCTCTCTGTGTTGCTCATGAATAAGTAAAATCTTAAGTGTAGCCCGGGCGGCTCAGCGGTTTAGCGCTGCCTTACAGCCCAGGGCGTGATCCTGGGGACCCGGGTTCGAGTTCCACAGCGGGCTCCCTGCATGGAGCCTGCTTCTCCCTCTGCCTGTGCCTCTGCCTCTCTCTCTTTCTCTGTCTCTCATGAATAAATAAATAAAATATTTATAAAAAATAAAATAAAATCTTTTAAAAAATCTCTTTACTTTTCTAAATCTTATGTTTTTGTAACCTGTGTCCTGGTACTTGAGGATATAACTGGTGGACTGAAATCCATAGGTACCAAAGACTTGGTACAGAGGAGTCCTTTCTCCCTACCTCAATACATTAGGGGGGCAGGGATCACATACCCAATCCCAATCAAAAAAAGGAGAGTACACTTTTACTTTTCTTTTTCTTTCTTTCTTTCTTTCTTTCTTTCTTTCTTTCTTTCTTTCTTTCCTTTCTTTCTTCTTTCTTCTTTCTTTCTTTTTTTTTTAGAGGAGTGTGAGACCAGGGAAGGGGCAGAGGAAAAAGTAAAGAGAGCATTTTAGCAGGGTCCATGCCCAGCACAGAGCCCCAAACCCCACACAGGCTAGATCTCATGACCCTGAGATCATGACATGAACCAAAATCAAGAGCCTACACTTAACTGATTGAGCCGCTCAGGCAACCCAAGGAGAGCACACTTTTTAATCACTTAGACTTCTCATAGATATTTAAACGTGCTCAAAAATTGCCATCTGGGCAGCCCGGGTGGCTCAGCGGTTTAGCGCCATCTCCAGGGCCTGATCCTGGAGACCTGGCATAGTGTCCCACACATCAGGTTCCCTGCATGGAGCCTGCTTCTCCCTCTGCCTGTGTCTCTGGCTCTCTCTTCCTCTCTGTATCTCTCATGAATAAATAAATAAAATCTTAAAAAAAAAAAAAACCTGCCATCTTAGAAAAGCTCCTTTAAACTTCCGTTATTCTCCAGAAACAACTCTTTTTTTTTTTTTCCTTTTTTCAAACCTTCATACACAAACTTTTTCAATGAGTCACTCCTGGCCTCCTTTTCCTGAGCTCCTACTCACTTCTTAACACACATTCACCTGGGTTTCACCCCAATCACCATGGCAACACATCTTTAGCTGAAATCACCAATGATCTCCCTGTGTTCAAATCCAATGGTTATTTTTTATTCCTGATCGCAACCTCTCAGCAACATCTGGCAGTGATGATTACTTTATCTTTCTTATAGGATGTTTCCCCTAGTCTTTGGAAGACCACAGATTTCTGCTATTGTCTTCCTTCTCTGTGACAACTCATTTTCACTTTTGATATTGTATCTATTCTGATACTCTAAAACTGTTAAAATTCATCAATATTTGTTCCTAAAGTTATCTTTTTCTCACCCTACATTGTTTTCACAGGGATTTGTATCTACCTCAAAGAAATCAATTACTATCCGTATCACCAAATTTATATCTTCTTCCCAGTTTGCTCTCCAATTTCTTTATTCATGTTAGCCACCTATTCATTCAAGAATTATGCTTGGATGAATGAAGAGTACTAGTTTTCACATAAGAGTAAGAGAATCATGATCTCTGAATATATCTTTATAAGTGTTTTTATTGTCTTTACAAAAAAAAAAAAATTCTACTTTCCCTCAAGACCCAACTCAAATTCTAAATTATCTGTAATGAATTTCTTATTCTCTTACTCTCATCTTCTATAGCAGCCTACTAGGTACTTCCTGCTCATCTATCTTCTAGAACGGTGTTATAATTTCTACACCCATGTGTCTTCCCTTAATCCCCAAATTAGAAGCTACTTAATGTCAGGCCCAGGTTCTATTCATAATCTTTTTTTCCAGAATTTATTTCTCTTATGTACAAGAGATGCTTAAAACTTTTTTAAATGAAAAATTGAATGCCAATAGACCAGTAAACTATACTCTGAGGTTTTCAAAGAGATATTAATAGATGCTCCCAAAAGGAGGGATTCTGTGATTAAAATCAGGGAAATTTGTAGTGAATCCCACTCCTAGAGATTCCAACACACACTTGCATTTGAAGAACTATAAGAAGTCCTTAAAATAGAAAAGTATTTAACTTTGTTTAATGTTTAGATAAGGAAAGCTTTCTTGCTCTTTTCTTCTTTTAACACACATAATAGCATTCACCAAACAATCATTCCTTATGTCTTAACATAGTTTGGATTTTAACTAATTAGGATCAGCAAAACAAATGTTAAAGAAACAGAGGGTGTGCATACTCTCTTTTTCCAGGACTCTCCACTAAGGTAAGACACAGGTGTTAATTCCTTCAATACAGCTTTGAAACTTCATCGTGCAGAAAAAATTTTGATCAATATAGTACTCCCATGCTCTTGACTGATATGCTAAATCCAACAGAATCTTATTGTTTTCTCTTTTATAATGTTTCTAATTTTAAGAATTAGAAAACACCATCTAACCATAAAGAATAGCAATATTATTATAGTCTCATTGAAATCATTGTTTTGTTTTGTTTTCCTTTGAAAGTATTCTAACAAAGATAATATAGTTACCTGAACACTCAACGTACCAGCAAGCAGTTATGCAAGTAGCTTGAATGATAGAAGCATTAGAAGTTCTGAAATAAAATTTCCACGTGAAGGTCAAAAACCTTTACCACTTCACCTTCACTATGTAGTCTGATAGAGTTTAGAGTACATTCAAAACCAGGAACCCAAACACAACAATACTTCTGCCCTGAATAGCTGTTATGCTATGCTTTCTTCAGTGGGCGACAAGGAAGGAAACTCTATTTGCCAAATAGAAAGTTCTGACATATGGGGTGGCAAATAACATTATGTAACGATAAAGCACCCATCCTGGTAACCAGAACTCTTATTAAGAACAACAGGATAGCAAAGTGACTCATCAGCTTGTGTGCTCTTTCTCAATTCTAGTAATTTGGGACAAGTGTGGGGAAGTTACAAGTTGTTTATGTGCAACCCAAAATGACAGGCGACACAAGTTACTAAGCAACATTAAGTCCTTGCATTTTTCTAATCTTTAAAAGCTGCCACAAGCGTATTAATCCTGTAATAGAAAGGTAAAGGGTAAAGCAATGTGGGAGTCATGTTTCTTGCTGAATGAAAATGTTTTGCTCAATAATTCTAAAATTCTGATTCACCATGAGTTCATCTGTCTTGGTTTTAAGATTACTTCAGGTGTATAATCCTCCTCTGCTCACTGTCAACACCAGAAACTTGTTCTATAATGAAAAAAAGGATAATGGAGGGGAGGTGTGTGGAAGTGGTTCTCATGAGTTTTGAAACCAGTTTGTTCCCCAGTAAACAGGACCTCAGTTCTCTATTTCAGTTCTTTGTTTCTTTCGTAGTACTTAATATAACAACAATAAATCATGTATTTGCTTCCTCGTTTGGGTGTGTCTGCTTCTGTCTTTCTCTTTCACTGAAGTACCTTCAGTACAGTAGGAATCTGTCCCTTATTTTACTCTTTCCTTTCCTGAGCCTGGCATGTTGCCTGAAACAAAGTAGCCCATCCAGGACTAAAGAATGAAATAAAATAAAGCACTGTATCATGGTGTCAGTAGTTCCGTTTCTTAAGATAGTTTTCATAACTGTGTTTATTCATATGAACCTTAAAATTTCCCAGGAGTAGCTGAGCATTACTTACAATCTCTAAAATACAACACTAAGAAAGGCAGGCGACTAAGAATTCCCCAGTCTTTATTTTTTTCATTAAGTAACCAGTGAAGGGATTCCTTGGTCAAAAGCCCAGGAAAAAACATTTTCTTACATTCTCTGTCTCAGCAAAACAAGTTGCTGAGTAAACTACAAACTCATCTTTTGTGCTTGAAGTTCTGTTTTCAGGTCAAGAATCCTGTAATGCTCTTCCACAGTACCTCTATTTCTTCCTCCTTTCCAGTTCATATGACTCAAAAGGAGTCAATCTAGGTAATAACAGATTTCCTCACATAAGAGGTCCTATTTTCCCAGTCTGCATAAGTACAAATGGGAAAAGAGTCTGTATAGATGAAAATTAAATATCAGTTTGTACACTGAATGGATGATAGCTGTGACTACCTATTAAGAGTGACTACCTCTTAAGATTGTCAGAGGAAGAAAAATGAAAAGTCTAGCATTATGGTGATAGCTCAAGGGACAAGAATTAAAATTTCTTAGATTGATTGTGTGCCAGCCATTCTCCTGGAAGTATTTGCATGTGTTATCTAATTTATCTTTGTTACCACTTACCCTTTTTTTTAAAATAATTCAATAAAAACCTTTTGGGCAAAATTGTAAGTAAGGCTGACCCTTTAAAGAGGGTGTTTTCTATAACATTTGGTAGATTTTATGAGTCTCATATTTTATTAATAAAAAACTAAAATGAAAACAGCTTTTTAGATTTCTATTTTATTTAGCACATTTGCTTTGCTATTAGTTCTTTACTTTTTACCTGAGACAATATCAACCAGAAAATAGTAATAGCTAATATTTTTTTAGTATTTATTATGTTCCTTCCATTCTAAGCCTGTTACACACATGATTACATCATATGATTCCATGAAGTGGATATTATTTTCATTATCCCTACTTTACAAAGAGAAATATAAACCATAGAATTTAAGTTACTTGCTTAAGGTCATCCAAGTAGTAAAGATTTGAGGCCAAGCCATTTGAATGCAAAGAATAAATGTTAACCCCTATATCACAGTGCCTAAGAAGGAAATGATGAAATTCAAATGAGCATCTTTGCATATTGAAAAATTTTACATGGAGTTGATTTCTCCACACCTTTAACCACAATTCCATCATCACAAATAATCAAAATATGATATAAGCCAAGTTTCTATAAAGAAAAAGAAATGCTATAATGGAAGACCCAGCTATTTCACTGGGGTATTCTCATCCTCAGATAACTTTTTTTAAGGAACTTCAAAGGGATCTTAAATCGCTATCACCCATCTCCACATCTCATCAAATATGTTCTTCCCTGGTTACAACTGTATATTTGACAACCGATTTGTGTGGATTAGAAAGAGAGTAAAGTGAGAAAAAAAAAGAATAAAATAGAATTATTTAACCTAAGATGATACTTTAAAAAAACAATACTATGCTTGGAAAGCCCTATGGCTATGCCCATGCAGTTCACATTGTTATAATGTTTAAATACTTAATGAAAGAAATTTACAAATCATTAGTAAGATCCAAATTATCCCATAAACTGAAAATGCTTCCTTGCGGGAGGGAGAGTAGGAATTGATTTTCCCACTATTCGTTTTTTTCATGTTTCTCTACCAGTAGTCAACTTTCTAATGTCTGTTCCTGATATGACTTAATATTTATTAGCTATGACTAAATCAAAATCTTCTCAGGACTTTTCCTCAAGGAAAATGAGAAT